TTTTCTTTAAATATTAAATTCGTTATAGAAGATGTTGAATTTGGTATCAGATGGATTATTTCTTTGGTTTGTCCAAAAGTAAAGGGGGTGTTTGGGAGCTCTGGTCCTTAGATGAAGGAACTGGTGCATTTTGATCAGTTCTTTAGAATTACTCTGGTCTTATCTTAGGAGTCTGATTACTGGCCTCTAGTTCTGCAACTCTGACTTTCCAACAGGAAATAGAGTGAAAAACATCTGTCATTTGGAGACCTGTGTATTCTGATAGTGCATGAGGAACTCTTAAATGACTACCTGAGAAGTTTTGTGGCACTCATTTTTCTTTAATCACTTTTCTCTAATCTCCGTCCACTGCAGAAACCGGAGCCAAACAGTCAGTTCTGAAACCAGCGTGGATGAAAGTGGAGTTTTTGAAAGTCTGAAGGCTGAAGCTTCCTCACCGCAACAGCTGTTCTCAGGCCTCGCAGGTATCCCGTCGGGCACCATCACAGCCACGCCGTTCCAGTCAGGTTTGGTTCTGGGCTCTAGGGAAGTATTCATTCAGATGCCAGCCCCGAGGGAGGAAGGGACCAGTCGTACAGAAGGAGCCCCATTTCACCACCGGCAATCGTCCCATCATTTCCACCATGGCCATCACCGGGGCTCATCCTTACTGCACATGGCAGGAGGGGACCGCCACGGGCATGCTGAGGAAGGCAGTGACGAACAAGCTGGAACTCCAGCCCCAGCTCTTTCAGAGTTAAAAGCTGTGATCGGTTGGCTGCAGAAGGGACTTCCCTTCATCTTGATCCTCCTGGCTAAAGTTTGTTTCCAGCATAAACTTGGTAAGCATCTATCCTTTTTGGATTGTAAGTGGTAAGAAGGTAGTTAGGAAGCTTTATCGTGCTGTGGTGTCTGATACATTTATCCACATGACAGTGTCTAGAGATAGTCTAGCATGAAGAGGTCATATTCAAATGCATGGGATAATGCATTTGATAAATTCATCCTGCTTTCAGTCCAAGCTGTTTTCATCTGTGTCAGTCCCATCTGTTTCCTGTCCTGACCTGTGGGAGATCAGTTCTGTACCTTTTCCTAATGTCTCCCTGACATTCCTGTAGGGGCTGAGGATATTACCAAGGCTTCTCCCTCAGACTTCTCTCTAGGAGAGATGGGGAGAGCTTACATTGGTGATCAGCAAAGGCCTCCGTGTAGCACAGAAGGGCTCAGAGGGATGGGACACTTGTATAGCTAGAAGGATGGTAGTTGGGAAATCAAGCCAAACAGCATCAGCAGTTACACATTGCAGTCCTGATCTTCAGAGTTTCCTAAAAATTATGTCTATCCAGGTTTCTTTAATGGTACCTGAGTTTTTCAGCCCCTCAGTGGTCATGTAAAATCTATTCATCTAATTCTCCTCTTACTACAAAATTGTATGCGTGGCATGCCTGAGGATCCTTACTCATTCTGGGAGTAGTATGCTGAGATTATTATCCCAGGGAAGCCGGTAATGCTTGAATTTAGTCCACTTACAGCTCTGCCAGTATTCCCAAAAACAGGTATTGATTCATGTCTGTGGCATCTTGCTCTTTGGACCTGGTATCCTGTATGGTTTTGATAGTGTGCCCTGTCCTCCATGAGCTGCTGAACTGCTATGTAATACTGTCATCTAGCTGTGTTCTGTTTGCACAATGCAGCCACAACTTGCAGCGCTTCTGTTCTCCTTCAGCACAGAATCTGACATTAGAAGAGAGTGTTTGTGTTGGGCTGGGTGGCAAGAAGTCACTGCAGTAGCTTCATTTTCATTTAGCTTGAATTTGAACTCCTATAGAGTCCAGACTGCCCTGTTTTAGTCGCCTACATATTTTAATTCCCAGTGCATCCAGAATATCACCCAGTAAATTTTCTTCTGAGCTTGAGATGCTGACATCAAATGGCTTAGGACTGAAGATTGTCCTACTCAGTCTTACATACTTTGACAGTGTCTTTCCCTGCAGGGATTGCTGTGTGCATTGGTATGGCCAGCACATTTGCATATGCCAACTCAACACTCCGAGAACAGGTTGCTCTGAAGGTGAGTACAGCATCTTACTCTCTTATGTTCCCAAGCAACATTGCTCTTTGTATAGAAAACAATATCTATGTGGTGAACTTTCTTCTGCAGTGTAGGGATGAATGCCATTATATGGATACAGATCTGTCAGAATAAGAGTACCGTGCTGTAATCCTCTATTCTTCTTCCTACTTCTCCCCATTGATGCTCTCGCACAGTTTCCATCTTGCTTTTTTGTGAAAGTGTGGCATAGTGAAACAAAGAGGGGAAAAGTCGGGGATATTGTAATCTGATTCTGATTCTGCCACTGACTGGCAGTGCATCTTCAAGCACTTCTCTGCACCTTTCCCCGTTATGTACAGCAGAGGTGCTGAAACCTCTTTCACTAGTTAATAATGAGTTTTAATTTATTAGCATTTAGATAATGTTTTGAGAGGTTCAGCTGAAGGATTTTGTAGATGTATTGCTTGTTAGTATCTTTATAATGCTCCGTTGATAATATGCTTAGAATATAAAGAAAGCAGCAAATCTTTTCAGGTCTTAAAATCTTCAGTGTCAGCGGAATACTTCAACAGCACTAAAAGCACATGACTAGAATTGCTTTTTTGTAAAAATGACATGGGTGGCACAAGTGTATACTTATATCTACCAGCAGCAGTGGAATAAATGTGATACAATGCTGAATGAACAGATAAATTGCACAATCATGTAATAGATTGCTATTGCCTTGCACTTTGCACCTCTGTCTTTCCAGCAGTGTGCCTATTAATCTGCCTGCTTTAAATCTCAACCTAACATCCCTGGCTGTTGAATAGCTACAAAGAGCTATTTTCTTAATAAATCAGCTCACAAGAAAAATGCTGGGTTTTTTTCCTCCCAGGAGTAAAATTTACTCTCCAAAATTACACTGGGCCAAGACCCGGGACAAGGTCTTCTGCCATCCAGCTTCTGTCTATAATGTTCCTTGTCTTTTGAAATGCAAAATTTGTACTTCTTTTGACCTTTAATTATTTCTTCAATCAAAAATGCATGTTCTAAAACCTCCATGCATTCAGGTAACATTCGTATCTGCTGCACGGAGTGATGGGTTATGTTATATTTGATTTAGCTAAGCCTTCTTGTAAGTGACTTTGGATCTGTTTGACAAAAAACACCCCTTTCATGAAGTGTCATTCCAGACAGGTGGCAGCTCAGAATTATAGTACAATATATGGAACTGACTTTTTTTTAACCTGCTTGTCATTTTAAATATCAGGAGAATTTAGATGTCCCAAGAAAGATCCCAACTTTGAAAACTCTGTTCTGCAAGTAAGGCTGTAATATTCACCATTAATTTCTCTGAAGTTGCTTTATTTGAAAAGGTTAGGTGAGTGAGAGCCATTTTTGCTTGTGTTTATATATGTCTTTACCTCGCAGCCTATTTCTGAGTCTTAGTCCTATGTAAATAAACTAATTACTGAACACTTAGTTGCATATTTGTGTCCCTTGCTTTAGTCTTGCATTTTTCAGCAGTCGAAGGCTCAGTGCAACCCTTGAGACTTTGACTTTATCTTCTCTGCTTCTTTTTCTTGCTCAGGAGAAGAGATCAGTGTTGGTTGTCTTCTGGATCCTGGCCTTTCTCACGGGAAACACCTTGTACTTGCTTTACACATTCAGCTCTCAGCAGCTGTACAACAGGTGGGCAAAATTTACATTGTACATGATGGAAGCAGGTGATAATTGCCAGGGAGGAAAAGAGGGAAGCCCACTTTTCCCCACACTTTGGGAGGAAGTGTGCATACTTAAGGTATCTGCTGTCTTTGTTACGTCTTTGTAATACCTTTCAATGGAGGAAAAGAATGTGTGTGTTGCTTCTACCAGTGGACTATGCTCCTATCAATAAATGACATAACCAGGGGCTAGGGTGTGATGATACACTACAGTGTTGCTGCTTGAAACACGTACACTTGCAATTTTCCTATGTATCGAAGCAGGGTGGATACTTTTTTATAGTAGGACTTCTGAATTTTCATTTTGACTGCTGTGACTGAACATAAAGAGCAGGTGTTGGAAGCAGATAAGAAATTGACCCCCTGATTTTCCTCTTCCAGTAATTTTTTCTTTTCTGTCTATCAAGCTTTGAGTCTATTACAGAAGATAAACTGGAGATGAAATAGTAGTGTTTTACTTCAGAGTCCTCAGGGCTTGGAGGCATTTGGATCTGGGGTAATTAAGATAGCCTCAAATTCTGACTAAAGCGCTTCTCAAATACAGAAAAGTTAGTACCCATGGTTTTGGTTCAGTACTATCCCTGCTTATAATAAAGCAGGGATTAAATGACAGATAGGAAGCAAAGATACAGAACTTAACCAAGGAGATGTTAGTAGAGTAAATAGGAAGAAACGGAGCAATATGAAACCTAGTTACTTGAGAAAGTAGTTTTGATATTAGTAGCTAAAACCATATGAATTATCTTCCCAATGAAAATTTTATTTGTCCTACTGAAGGGGACTTAGAACTTCAGACTGAAAATACAATGTGTGTAACATGCGTCAGTTGGGTTATGGCTAGATGGCTCTTGGGTATGTTATTTCAGTCATTTATTTCATTGCTTCCCTGCTTCTTCCCACCAATACTGTCTATGTGGAAGAGTTAAGGTCTGCCCACAACCCTGGTATCCTTTGGAATTGCCCTAATGTGTTTGGGTTTGATCATTGGAAAGCTGTGTATGTAAATGCATCTAGAAAGGGGGAGAGATGAGAAGGCTTGTACGTGTGGGTCCGAATGAGAGATGGCAAGCCATAGGATACTCTGTATAGGGCTTGCGGGAGGGAATGGTAGAGAAGAAACAGGTATAGCAGAGAAGTGTGAAAGCGTTAAGAAGAAATTTGTTTGCACCGCAGGGAAACTGTGTGTCTCTAAGAAGGTGGTTAAGGTTAAAAGCATGAATGGGACTAGTTTAAAATAAAAGATGGATCATCTAAAATAAAAGGGTTTCAGCAAATTTGGGCCATCCTACACACTGTTCAGGTTGTAGTTTATTAACAGTGAACAGACTGGGCAACTGCTTAACTGAAAAGCCCTATTCCTGTGAGTGTTAGAGTGGTGCCTGCTGTGTCATGCTTGTGCTAGCGTATCTATTGCTTGCCGTGTGGGGACCTGTGACTATTCCTGAGGCAGGCCTGTGAAATTAGAAATAGCTGCTTTGGTTTTATTCCTTTCTGGCTTATTTTTCATTTCCTAATTTATTTACTTTTCGCTTGTTTCTAGTGCATGAATAGTAGTAAAGTCTCTGATTCTGTTTCTGTTTTTAGGGTGTAATTTTACCTGTTGTGCTGTGCCAGTGTTGTGAGTATTTTAAATTCATGTTCAGGCTTTTCATTCTGGGTTGGTTATTTTACTTTTGCATTTTTTTTTGTTAAGTTTTTGCTTTCTACCATGAGGCTTTAGTAGGCAAATATTCTGAAGAGGAATCCTGTTTTTTCAGTGTGAGTAGGGTCCAGTCCTCATAGCTGCTCAGATCAGTAGCTCCTGCCCATTGCTATATGAAGTTCTGCTGTCCTAGACTCCCCTTCTTTAAAGAGCAAATGTTCAGCCCGGTCAATAACATTATGTAAGGGGCACTACCTTTTTTGGATCTTTGGCTCAGGTAAGAGTTGCTAATTAACACAGCCTGTCTCTTGGTCTGCTTCAGACAGTGGCAAGCCACTGTCAGAGCATGACACACCTGAAGTTCTGACCTTTCTGCCGGGTCTAATACAATGCTTCCTTTGTCACCAGTTTGTTTCACATGCACAAGTACCTTTAGAGACTGCTGCCCTGCAGTAGTTCCACCTGTGGCAAGCCAGCCTCAGAGGAGCAAGATACAGCAGTCTTGACTTAGCCGTGGCTTCCCCAAGGAATCATAACTTCTGATGACTTGGACTTCCAAGGATAAGCTTTTACAATCAGATCTGATAGAGCAAGCCTGTGGACTAAAGGCACTGTCATTACACCAAAGGCTTTTTTACAGTGTGGATTACAGGTTGTGGGGATTGCAATCTTCCAAAACAGATTTTGTACATTTGGGTCCTGTTTTCTGATAGTGGGCAAACTTGCTGACCTCAGTAGAAATGGGCAAAAACAAGTCAAGAGGCCCAGAGGAACCATGGGACTAATTTGCATGTCTTATTCCTATTGCCCTTGAGAACTTCACTGAAGTTCAGTGGAGTTTCTAGACATTCTATGGCCAGCAGTGGATATAGCTGGTATCAAGAAGCTTAAGTGAGGTTCTCCTCATTGGTATTTGAGCCTTGTGGTCATGCCTTTCAGCCTTATATTTCTGAAACCCAACCTTGAGAGGCTGGACTTCTTCGACCTGATGTGGATTGTGGGGATCGCAGACTTTGTACTGAAGTACCTCACCATCGCACTGAAATGCCTAATTGTTGCCCTGCCTAAGATCATCCTAGCTGTCAAGTCAAAGGTAAGAGTCTCTTTTCTTCTTGATATTCAGGTGTTTGTCTTTGATAATCTGATACCTTTACAACACGTTTGCAGCATGAAATATGGGTGGAAGAATAAAAATAAAATCTCTGATAAAACTATGGCAGAAAGTCACCTGGGTAAGGAGTTTTGGGTTTTGAGCCATCGCAGACCTGAGCAAGGGTTTGGTAATGCCAGCAAGTAAATACAGTCCAGAGAGAGAGAGAGCGCGCAGTAAGCATTGCTTAAGAAGGAGTAGGTACTAGCAGTGAGATAACTGCTTTTCTGGTTGACTTTGTTCTAAGTCTTGTTTTCTGAGTAATCTCTGTTAATAGATATTTCTGAAGCACAAATTTAATGGAAACAAATTGCAAGTACTTGTCTTTTTGGCTTTCCACTTCGGTCAAAGAAGTAACAGTATTAAATTGAAGCTACTGATGCCACAAAGAACAGCACCAGTTCTAACCATGTGTGAAGAAATATTTTAACTAAATGGTTAACATACTTAAATGTTTATAAAATCATATGTTAACTAGGCCTAACTTTTGAAACTTTCTCACTATATTCTCTTTCTTGAAATACCTTTTCATATTTTTTTTACTCTTACAGATCTGTCGTGCTGCCCCTTCCTTCACTTAGTAGTGTCTACATTTCAGTGGCAAATGTAACAATGATGTGTATTAATTGCATTTGGTAAAGAAACTTTCTGGCAGCTGTTGGGATGAAAGGCACTATATAGATGCAAGATATTATCATTAATCGCTGAAAGTCTCAGACAGGGCACTTAAGAGGATTTCTAAACTGGGAATAGTTTTGCTTACAAATGACATGGGTGGCAGGGGAGTTGAGCAGTTTGTTCCTGCACAGCAGGGCTATTTGAGATGGTTATTAATTTATTTCTGGCAATTGTCCAGCTCTTTTTTTCCTTCTTCTTCTATTATTATTATTTTATTTTGGGAGATTAATGTGCTAGGTCAGAGCATAATCCAGCCTGGGGAGGGAGGGAAAAGTGATGTGAATAGTCTTCCCAAGATAAATTGCAGTGTTGGAAAAGGTTCACAGCCTTTGCTTGCTTGTCTGAGAGCTATCCCAAGTACTCATTAATCCTTGTCGGGAGAGAAGAAAGAGAAGGGGTCTTTATTTGCAGCTACAGTGGGAGGCTGGTAAGATCACATCTGTCAAGGGCCTGTAATGACTCAGAGCACAGATGCTTCATTTTTAATACCTTTTTCTGGATAGCAATATTTCTCACTTTTTTTAAGTCCCTTTTTGTCTTAGGATGTTGTTGATGGTCTCACTGTCCCTTGACATCTGAGACTGCTGTTACCTACCACTATGGATCTGGATTTATTTTTATCCCCCTCTCTACACTGCATCCATTAAGCCAACCAGGGATGAGATCTGGTGTGACAAAATTAAGCAAGATCAAAGTGGGATGGGAGAGCTCCAAGAGAACCCCAGGATGCCATAGAAATTTTAATTGGTAACCACATAGCTGAGCTCACTTACTTCTACAGGCCAGCTCAATGCTACATATCTTATTTTTCAGATGAGTTTTTTTAAATGTAAGCTTTTTCTGAGTTAGAACAGTTCTATTGCACTTTAGGCACATTAACTTCGACCAAATTCTTATCAAGTTATTTGCTATCTTAATACTTGCCAGAAACAGTTATTCTCTTCCTCCCCATGTGCTTGTAGTAGTGTTTCTGCTTGAAGCCTAGCTTGTAGTTTATGAGCTTCTGGATGGCTGTCACTTAATGGTAGCAGGTAGCAAGCTGCTGGAGAAATATAAATTAAATTCACAGAGTAGAGCTAGAAGATTTTTTCAATATATATACACTGAGAATTTTTCTACTGATACTACTAGTCAGAACAGCAGCCTCTAGCTCCCCATAATACAGGACCTGAAGTGGAGATTGCTGCACTGTCAGGGATAAAGTTCAGCACAGCTGTGAATGGGGTAGAGGTATTTAATCTCGAGCTTCTTTGCAGTACCTTCTTGCTGGCAGTCAGTAATAGATGATAAAACCTGCCCATGGATGGCGTACTACCCAGGACTGTGATGATTCTGTGCTCAACCTCTGAGCAGGCCCTTCAGATTTTCCTCATTTTGGAAGTTCAAAGCCACTTCCAAAGCTAGTCTGGCTTTTCGTGCTGCTCCTTGAGATTCTAGTCTTCTCTGAATACTATGTGGTTTTCACTGATGCTTGCATGGCCTTTCTAGTACGAGGCATTTCCTCTGAATGTCCTTCTTTAAGTCTCTTACCTCTCCAAATCCATTGTGATTGGAGCAAGATCAGATTCTTTTCTTTTACACATCAAAGTCTTCATATCTCCCCTCAGTCTTCTCTGTACGCTGAACAACACCAATTTTTTGAGTCTTTTCTCAGAGATCATTCATTCCAGATCTTATTATTCTCTTCTGGACTGTCTTCAGTCCTCCCTGTTTTCCAGACCATTTCTCCAGTATGTCAAGATAAGTTTGGATTTTAATCCTTCTTTCCAGTGTGTTTACAGCCTTTCCCAGTTTAGTCTCAGCCTCAGCTGCAGATTTGATAAGCCTACTTTGTTCCATCAAGATCACTAATGGAAATAGTGAACAGTACTAAACTTTGCTTACCTCAGATGCATCTTTTCATTTTGACAGTGAACACATGAAAAATCTGGGCTGGAGCACTCAGTTCTCAGTCTCTCCCAGTCTAAGGTACATGGGTCATGTATTCCTAATATGGCCCCATCACAGGAAGAACAGCATTTGGTTTAAGATGACATCGAGAACCATCTTGGATTTATAGCATCAGTCATGCTTTAATAACTGAGAAAAGGCAAACTAAAATTGAAAGGCAGAAAAAGAAGTTTGTTTTTGCAGTCTGAATACAAAGAACAGTAAACATGAGTGCGTGAAGCATGAAGACTGCTATAGTATGGGGATACAGCTAGCCAGAGTTCTCCAAGCTTTAATATCTCAGAAATGGAATACCTCTGCAAACAACCCCTCCAAAGAATGAGGGAAGATTGAAAATTTGACAAAATAATCCCAGATTTTTCCAGGTTCCAAACCAGCCCAGCAAAAAGAGGTACCAAGAGAGGCTGTGAGATTACAATCAAGCTGGAAGGCAGGGAAAGAAGAGCTCGCAAGTAGGGGAGAAAAGCAGAAAACGGAAGGTAAACCCAACATCAGACTCCAATCTTACACCTCTACAGTGTAAGAGTGTAAGAATCAGTGGGAGTTCGTGGGAGAAGGAGCATACCTGTGGCTAAAGATGTTCCTTCCTCCCCCATGAGCTGTGATGAGCACATCAAGTTTTAATAGCAGCTGGGCTCATAATTTCTTTGGAAGGGGGGCTTGGCTCCCACCCTGGATGCTGAAGGCTCTCCATTAAAAAAGGCAAATAAGATCATTTGGTTCAATATAAAATGAATTAAAGTAAATTAAACTGCAGGAGCCATGTGGCCTGCAGAGGCCTCCATTGTTGTACACACATAAATGGCAGCTTTTCATTTTCACTGCTAAGGAATGACAGCTTGAGGGGGGTGGAATTAAAAATAAGGAAATAAATAATAAAAAGACACAGTTGCCAAAGATTTCCTTTAGGAAATCCCAGGTGCCTGCAAGTCTCCCATCCCCTCCTCATGCTGTTGTCAGCAATCTAAGCTGATATCCTGGAGAATGGAGTGAAGCATGGCAGGGGGGAGGGAGGAGAAAGAAAACCAAACCAAAAGAGACTGGTATCCCAAGTTCTTTTACATATATACAAAAGAAAAAAAAAAAAAAATATATATATAGGGGAGAAAGATACCAAGGACACACTTTTTTCTAACAGTCTTAATGGCTGGTATATGAGAAAGGCCTTAAGTAAGAATTTTCTTTGCATGCTCAATACAGAATTGCAGCCAAGTTACAAGGGGCTGCATTTCCAGAAGATTGAAAATTCAAAAGGAAAACACTAACATTTGTTTGTTGAAAACATAATATGAAATTACTATTCATTCAATAAATACTTGTCAGTTTTGTTTAAAAGCTGGATCTAGACATTGCAAATGAGTTTTTTGTGGTAGGGGTGGCATTACTTATGTGAAGCTTTTTCTTTATGCTGTTCAAATGGTATTAGGGGCAAGTGTACAAATACTAGTCCACACTAGCACCGTGGACTCCTCACTACATCTTTGAAAATATTTGCTTGAGGGTTTTTTTGGTTGGTTGGTTTTTTTGGCACTTTCTGGGGTTTTTTTGTTTGGGTTTTTTTTTTTTTTTAAAGTACCATGTCATCAAATCTTGTTCGAGAAAACTTGACCTGTATGTGGGAGCCATTCTTTACAGAGTTTTGCACTTGGACTTTGGACCAGATACCTTTTTCAGGTGCATACCATGTTTCCTAGTATAGATGGTTACAGCTCTGCCATGTGAACTGGCACATTAAGCTTTCCATATTCCTTCTGAAGCTGCACCTTGGACATGAAAGAAATATCAGAATGTCTTTTTCATGAAGTAGAATGATTTGGATCATTCAGCTGAAGCAAGCTATCTAGCAATGTATTACTGTGTCAGCTGGTCTGTCATAACTGTGTATTCTGTGAGTCTGAAGCTAGTAAGACTTGATTTTGAGTAGCACCAGTGCTCTTCCATGTTCTAATGGAGCACAAGCATGTCCAGAGTTGCTTTGGTTATCATGCCACCACCTGTTTCTGTCCCTGTGCACAGCCATGTATAATTAAACAATTACTGTAAGGAAAATGAGCACTTACCATATCATGATTAGAATTCTTCTGCAACCTGCATCTGTCTTGTGTGAGAGCTCAGCTCCATGGGATACCATGTCCAAAATCCTGGTGCCCAGCCTTTCTCACTGGTCAGACTGACCATTCCTCCATCACATGACTAGTTGCACAAGTGACTTGCATGCACAGAGTTTTATGCTCCTTGAGCAACAAGCTTTTCTTGCACTAGGCATTCATGTAGAACATGAATAGAACAAAGTCCATCCTTCTGCCTTGGGGAAA